CCCTCGGGCGAGGTGTGCGACATCAACGGCAACTGCGTGGACGCCGCCGACGACGAGGTGTTCAAGCTGACCACCCGCGAGGGGCAGCTGGTGGTGGAGGCGGAGCAGGTGGGCGAGCCGGGCCCGCATGCGGCGGCGCGTGCAGCGCGCTGGGCTGCGTGCGGCCTGGCAGGCAGGCGGGCCCTAGGGGCCTGGGTTGCGCGGCGCTCAGCTGCTCCTGGCCTTCCTGGAGAGGCAGCAGGCTGGCTGTGGTCCGGCCGGCGCCGCTCATGCCCACCCCGCCTCCTCCCTCCCCTCCCCTCCCCTCCCCTCCCACGTCCCAACCCGCAGGTCCGCACCGAGACGGCCGACTTTGACGCGGGCCTCATCTTTGAGCAGGACCCCGTCCAGATTGTGGACGCGCTGCTGCCGCTGTACATGAACGCCTCGCTGCTGCGCTCGCTGCAAGAGGCGCTGGCCTCGGAGCTGGCGGCGCGCATGAACGCCATGAACAACGCCTCCGACAACGCCGGCGAGCTCAAGCGCAGCCTCACCCTGGTCATGAACCGCAAGCGCCAGGCCAAGATTACCACCGAGGTGGGTTGGGGAGGACATGGGGAGGGAGGGAAGGGAGAGGGAAGGGGGTGGAAGTGTGTGTGTGTGTGCTCTAGGGGCTGCATGCAGCTGCGGCGTCACCACCGTGCTGTGCCTGCCTCCGCGGCGAGGCGCGCTTGCGGCGGCGAGCGCGTGGCTGAGATCAGTGCTGCCTCTGATGATGACCCTGCCTGCCCCCCTGCCTCCCTCTCGCTGCAGCTGACTGAGATTGTGGCGGGCGCCTCGTCCGTGTGAGCTCGCTGGCAGCCGCTTGGGGCGGGGCGGCGCGCCGCCGCCTCCGCCGGTAGTTTTCATCCATTCTTTCACCCGCACTCCTGGAGAAGAGAAACATATATTTTTGGGGTCAGCACTCCTGCTGCTGTAATTCATCCATTGTTCGGTCACAACCGCAAGCACGGGCCGGGCGGCGCAGCACCAGTCCCCAGGCGGTGGGTGCCAGGTCCCCGTTTTTTTGCGGCATGTAGCCATCCAATCGCGCCACCAAATCATCCTGCCATTAAGAGTGCATTCCCCCCGGCAAATTGCCCCCCGGGGCGTTCCACGAGGGTGCACGGCAGGGCCGCAGCACGGTGCAGTTCACATGCGTTCAGTTGGCTGACCTGGCAGCTGCCAGCACGCATGTCACGCACTCCAACTGCTCCGAGCCGGAGCAGCTATTCCGCAAATTCGCAGCGCGAAACAACTTTTCGCAGCGAACATTTGGGGAAATTTCAGGGCGCGGACGGCCATTCCACACTTCACCTCCCAATTGGCCAACCGGCTCCCCCGCGCCGGTTGGCCATTTGGGACGGTTCCAAGGTTCGGCCGGCACATCATTGGGGAGGTCAAATGATTGCAAATTCATCACTCGCGAGCCCGAAAAGAGCCTACAAAGAGTTTCACGTGCTGCCTTGCTGGCCCCTGCCAACTCAGCCATATGGCCGCATGTGAACTGCATCTAACCCCTCCCCCCGAATCACGTCCTGCATTATGCCCTTCGGCTGTGTGACTCAACCTCGATTGTTTGAAGGGGGTGGCGGGAGCTGGCGAAGTGCTTTGGCTACGCCCTCGCTGTCGCAGCCCAGACCCTCCCGGCTTTGAAGCCTCTTGCAAAAAAGCAGCAGGTAAGGGGCCCAGACCCTCGCTTGTCGGCAATCCGCGTGACCGGCTGCCAGGTGTTGCCTTTGGCGGGGCTTGGCGCTCCCATCTGCCCTCAACAGGTGGTCCGCTTCACCCCTGCAACCGGCGAGCACTGCACTGGCACAGGCTGCCTGAGCAACGGCTACCCACGCGGCTCCCGCTTGCTTGCAGCTAGCGGCACCCGTGAACAGCTCGCTCAACCCACCAGGAAGCGGCAGCGGGTCCATGGAGAGCCCGCGAGCCCCGCAGGGTCTGGCCAGCGAGGCCGTCACGCCTGGGGCGTCGGTCGCCGCGCAGCACGGCGACCGCCACACCTCTGCGTTTGACACCCCCGGCCCTCCATCTCCAGGGCAGGCCTCGCCATCGCGGCACCGCAGCCAGGAGGAGCGCTCAGCCAGCCGGGGGCGCGCGTCGGCGGGCCTGGAGGCGGCGGCAGCGGCGCTGGCCGCCGGCGACAACTCGTCGCCTGCCGCCGCCTCGCCGGCGCCGCCAGAGCCGCTGTCGCGGCCGCGGCTGCGAGTTCAGGGCGCCGACATCATTTTAGAGGATGCCTCCAGCCCCAAGGCAGAGGTAGCAGCAGCAGCAGCAGCGGCGCCCTCCGCGCCCGCCAACCACACGCAGCAACCGCCGGCTGCCCCCACCGCAGCAGCGGGCAGCCAGCCGGCAGCGGCAGCAGCAGCAGCAAACCACGCCACGCTGCAGGCCCTGGCGGCCGCGGCTCATGCGCCGCAGCACGCGGCATCGCAGCACCTCCTATCGGCGAGCACGCGCACAGCACAGTCTCACGAGCATGAGCTCCAGCTGCGGCTGGCCTCCCGCACCGCCACCGGCCTCAGCAACGTTGCGGTGATCAGCAGCAAGCCCCCGCAGCACGTGGTGGTGGGGCCCGGGACCGCAGATGAGCGGTGAGTGTAGCTGGGGGCCGGCTTGGGGCTTGGCACCTTGGGCAAGGGGCCCGGCGCACGGCGCGCTTTACACGCGCTCCTCTGTCCTGTCGCCGCATCCACCAGCAGCCACGCGCCGCACTGCCACAGCATGCTACTGCGCCGAGTGCAGCAGCCGCAGCCAAGCCATGCGCTGTGCGGCATCCTGGCGCCCCTCACGCGTCGGCCGTGCTTTCTTTCTTTGCCTTCTTCCCGCAGGGGCCAAGGCCACGAGGGGGCGGCCGCCGCAGAGCTGGCGCCCGCGGGCAGCAGCGCGGCGGCGGCGGCGGTGGAGGGCCCTGTGCGCATGAAGTACCGCAGTACCCTGACTGAGGAGAATGTGGCGTACCTCAACAAGCTGGACCAGTACAGCTCCCGCCCAGACTCCTCAGGTGCGCAGCAGCCGCCGCCTGGTGCCAGGGAGGCAGCCCCGCGCCTGCAGGCACCATCTGTCGGCGCGCATGCGTGGTGCCTGCCACGCTGCTCCGGCCTGCGGCGGGCGCCACGCGTGGCCCCAGAAACAGCCCATCCTGCCGTGCCCACCCTGTGCCCACCCTGCCGCGCCGCCGCAACCCCTCTGCTGCAGAGCGGATATGGCGGTGGCTGGAGGGCTCAGGCCCGCCCTTTGACAACCCGCCGCCCAGCCTGGGTGTGCCCACCGTCACCAAGGGCAGCTCGGCGGCAGCCGGCAAGCGGCAGGCCGGCAAGCGCGGCTTCTGCTCCTGCCTCGGCTGCTTTGGGGGCGGGCAGCAGTAGCGGCGCGCCGAGCTGTGGCCCGCCCACGCGGCCCCTTGCCTGCCGCGGCGCTGGCGGCACCCTGTGCCCCCTGCCCTTCCGTCTCCTGCAAACTCTTTCTGCAGCTCCAGCTCTACGCACCTTGTGGCCTGGCCGCCCTCTGAACCTTGCTGGTCCCCGCCGCCGCCCCCACCCACCCACCTTGTCCCTCCTGCATCATCCCGGCGCGCTTCACTCCCTCCTCCCCTCCCTCCACTGCTGTTTTCCTCGGCTCCACTGCTGCCCCTTGTGACTTGCTGACCGACCAATGCTGCTATTGTCGCAAGCTCCTGCCCGTGTAAGTAGTTGAGGCGTTACAGGGCGGCGAGGTTGGCGAGGTGTGTGTGTTGAGATGTTCATTTGCATTGTCCATAGCAGGAGGGATTTTCTGGAGGTCGAATGAAAGGACCCGCTGGCAAGGATAATCAAACAAGCAGAACAGTGTGGCGGCCGGCACAAAGCGTCTCAAACGCCGATCCGGGCACAGCTCCCGGCGGCGGGAGGAAAAAGGGGACGCATGCAAATTCGAGGCATAAGTTGCCAGGAGCGGGCGCCTCCCCTGCGCGGCTGGTGCCGCACAGGGGCGCGCCACATCTTGGGTGAGGGGCGAGCATAGGAAAAAGGGCAGTGTGAGCCTTAGCATACCGGCGTCGGGTGCAAACACTTTTTGGGGGGGCAGGGCGCCGCTAATGCTGGGCGCGCACAAGCAGGGAGGGACAGGCGCAAGCAGATCCACACCTGCCGCTGCCAGGTCTGGGGTGCGGCGAGCAGGGCCGCGTCAGGAGCAGGGGGCTGGGGGATTCAGGTGGGGCGGGAGGCGACCCAGCAGGCTCAAGTGTACAGGTGTGGGGGGCTGTCGGACAAAAAAGGGGGGGTGGGGTAAAGGGTGTGGGAGGCAGGCAGGCGCGTGCGCTGGCGCGGCTGGCGTGCACGCTGCGGCCCGGCGGGGGTGGTGGGCGCAGAGGGGGGCCTGCCGGGCCTGCACGGAGGAGGCCTCTGAGGGCAGACCCCCACCCACCAAACAAGCAGCGGCGCAGCCAGCCGCGGCGGCGCGCGCGGCTGCCGGCCGGCCCCGCCGCGGCGGCGCGCCCCGCAGTGGGCTCGGGGCGCCGCCGCCGCGGCGGCAAGGATACTGTGGGGGCAGCGTACTGTACTGTACTGCTGTACTGCGGTGAATAAAAGGGGAAGGCGCTGCGCCGCCACGGGGCGGCGCTCTCTCAGGGGTGGACGGGTGGTGCCCGCGCGGAGCGGGTCTCTGGGGGTGTGGGGAAACAAAATGGCAACCAAATGAGCACCGAAGGGAAGGGGCGCGCTGCGCCGGCGCCGGCGCCGCCGGCACATCTCCCGCCAGGCCGGCAGGGCCCGGGCCGGGGCCCGGGCACGCGCTGCCAGAGCGGCGCCGCTGCCAGGCGGTACCGCTGCAGCCGGCGGGGGGCCGCCGGGGCGTGGGGCGGACAAATGCAGCCGCCGCGGCCTGCCGCCGCCTCACAGCTCCTCCCCGCCCAGCGCCTTGTCAGCTGCCAGGAAAGAGTCCAGGAAGTCGTCCATGTGGTCCAGGCGCGGCAGCGGGCAGTCTGCCAGGAAGGAGTCGGCGTTGAGCGCGTTCATCAGCGCCTCGGTGTCGCCCAGGCCGCCGCTCACGGGCAGGTCGTCCTGCGGGGGGAAGGAGGGAGGGGTGGGCAGGGGGCAGGGGCGGGCAGG